CGTTTAAAACTATTTCATATTCATGTTAAATTCAAATATTAGAAGTTGTCTCCTAAAGCTAATGTAACAGGCCATGCTACTTGCCATTTGTGCTGAAAAACAGTGAAATTGTCTTTAGCGCAACCTGTGAAATGTTCTCACTGCAAAAGTCTAAGTTATAAAAAATTACATTCAGATTACAACCATTTCCAAAAAAGTTAGGACACTGTGCAAAATGTAAATAAACATAATCCAATGATATATAAATCATTTAAACCAAATATTTAATCTAAAACAATACAAGCACCAAATATTAAATGTTAAAACTGAGAAATGTTATTGTTTTTTGAAAAAAATATAAGCCTGTTTTGAATTTGATGCCAGCAAGATATTTCAAAAAAGTAGGGACAGATGCATGTTTACTACGGTGCTGCATCACCTCTTCTATTAACAACACTCTTGTAAGCATTTGGGAACTTAAGAAACCAATTGCTGTGTTTTTAAAGTGAAATGTTTCCCATTCTTGCAGGATTTCAGCTGCTGAAAAGTTCGGGCGTCTCCTTTGTCTTATTTTTCGTTTTATAATGTGCCACGTCTTGAGTGGGTGATGGTCTGGACTGCGGGCAGGCCGGTTCAGCATCTGGACTCTTTTACTACGAAGCCATGCTGTTGTAATATGTGCAGAGTGTAGAATAAACAGGGCCTTCCCTGAATATTTAATAATGAAGATTTCTTTATCTCTTTTTATTTTATCGGCTTTTTATTGATTTTTTTTGATTAACTGCTCTTTATTGTGCCTCTTCAAAAAGTAGTCCGGGCTGCAACATTCCTTATAACTTCAGTATAGCCTGAAACCTTACAAACGCATCCAAATTTGGTTAATTTATTCACAAAAAAGTCGCTCTTTCACATTTTCCATTAACTAAGAACCTCTAGGAGAAAGTTAGTGTCTAAGTTGATTAACTGTTCGGTAAATAGATGTTTAAAAGTCTCTTATTCAGGAAGTTTTGCGATGTAATGTTAATATTTGTTTTCTTTTAAATCTCTTTGGGCTGTTAGCTGACTTTATCCTGATGCTAGGCTAATGCTGGGTTTGCTAACTGGTTACCAGAGTAACAGAGCGTCTCCAGCTGCTGTTCATTCATGAGAATTTGGTGAATTTATGCTGCAGTTACTGTTCATGTTGAACGAGCTTTTCCTGAATATTTCAGTGATTATTCTAATATTTTCTTTAGGAGTGGATCATCATTGGGACATCTGTTCATCCATCCCAGAGGTAGTCTTTTCACATAGCAATCTTAAATGATTAAATATCATTATAATAATAATTAAAACTGAGGACACTACACAGATATTCCTGCTCTATATTAACCATATTTTCTTATCTTGCTGTGTCTGCAGATCTGGCAGGAACTGCTATTTATTCCACCAACTTTGTGTGGACCGTTGGCGAGAATTCGGGTAAGAATCGGCTTTTGTACACATTGTTTAAATGAAAGTGAGTTTAATTAGGCTGTAGTTAATTGATTAGCCTTCACTACAATGGGCTAAAGAGTGAGCACTGGTGGGTGCTCAACAACAACTTTTATAACGTGTCCACACAAGAGGTAAGACTGAGTTATTGGAGTAGGTTCATGATTTTAATATGAATAGATGTTCTACAGTCTCTTTCTTTCATCCTCATGTTTTTAATTGTGTTTATAGCTTCCTCCCCAGTATTTTGCGTGTGCCAGTGCTGTGGCCTGCATCAAGGTAAAACTGCAGCCTCATTTGTTCAATAAATGCTTTTGCAACTAGTTGCAATTCTGATTCCTTTTTCATCTCCATGTCTTCTGTTCCTTCAGCGCATCGGAGCATCCATCAGTGAGGTGAAGGTGTACTTGTGCACTGAATCATCACACACATCAGTGCAGAATGTTTCGCTGGTTAGTATTTCCTTGTGTCTTTTTGCAGTTAGAGTTACTAGTGATATCAGTTTTTGTAAATAAGTGTTCAGTGGTAGTTTTACACATTTTTATTTATATTTCTGTGTGTATTTTGCAGTAAACCAGAGTGAGCAGGACGAACAAGTGTGTGTTCATTGACTCAGACATGTTTATTTCTGTTAAAAAAAAGCAGTGATTAGTAATTTCTTTTTGAATTGTATTACTTTGAAAACAGTATAAAACACAATATTTGGGGTTTTACCTTATGAAAATTTTGTATGACTATACACACATTCCAAATTTGATGCCTACAACACTTTCCAAATATGTTGGAACAAGAGCATGTTTACATCATGTTAAATCACCTTTACTTTTAACAGCACTTGCTATTCATCTGGGGCCTGAAGACACCACTGAAGATCAGAGCATGTAATACAAATAATAAGCAATACAAAATGGAAAATCATGTTTACATTTTTGCTCTTAATTGAATGTGTCTTTACAATGAATTTACAACCAAAAAATTTGAGATGTTTTGCAAAATGTAAATAAAAACAGAATGCTGTGATATGCAAATCATGTAAACTCTACATTCAATTGAAAATAGTACAAAGACAACATATCAAATGTTGAAACTGAGAAATTACATTGTTGTCTGAAAAGTACATGCCCATTTGAATTAGATGCCAGCAACACGTTTCAAAAAAGTTGAGACAGGGGCAACAAAAGACTGGTAAAGTTTTGTTACGCTGAAAAAATATCGGTGGAAAGTTCATAATTAATTAGGTTAATTGGCAACCAGCCAGCATCATGACTAGGTATAAAAAGAGCATCTCAGAGAGGCTGAGTCTTTCGGAAGTAAAGATGGGGAGGGGTTCACCACTCTAAAAAAGACCGCGCAGGCAAATAGTGCAATAATTCAACAATAACATTTCTCTAAAATAGCAAAGGACTTGGGGATTTGTTCATCTACGGTATATAATATCATTAAAAGATTTAGAGAATCTGGAGAAATCTCTGTATGCAAGGAACAAGGCAAGAAAACTAATATTGGAGGCCATGATCTTTGGCCCTCCCTGCATTAAAAACAGACACAATTTTGTAGTCAGAATCACTGCATGGGCTCCTGAAATGCTGCTGCCTTCTCTGGGCCCAAGCTCAATTAAGATGGACTGAGGCAAAGTGAAAAAGTGTCCTGTGGTCTAACGAATCAAAACTTGAAATTCTTTTTGGAAATCATAGACACTGCACAATTCAACAGCCAGTATCTGTGATGGTATGGGAGTGCATTAATGCACACGGCATGGGTGACTTGCACAATTGTGAAGGCACCATTAACGCTAAACGATATATACATGTTTTGGAGCAATATATGCTGCCATACAGATGACATCTTTTTCAGCACATTCAGACAATGCCAAACCACATTCTTCACATATTACAACAGCATGGCTCCATAGTAAAAGAGTCCAGATGCTGAACTGGCCTGCCTGCAGTCCAGGTCGATCACCCACTGAAGACATTTGACACATTATTAAACAAAAAATATGACAAAGGAGACCCCTGAACTGTTCAGCAGCAGAAATCCTATATCAAGCAAGAATGGGAAAAGATTTAACTTACAAAAGCAATTGGTCTCCTCAGTTCCCAAATGCTTACAGAGTGTTGTTAATAGAAGTGGTGATGCAGCACAGTAGTAACATGCCATGTCCCTCCTTTTGTTGAAATGTGTTGCTGGCATGAAATTCAAAATGGATATTTCTCAAAAAACAATAAAATGTCTCAGTTTCAACATTTGATATGTGTTCTTTGTACTATATTTGATTAAATATAGGGTTTAAATGATATATATTATCTGTTTTTATTCACATTTTACACAATGTCCTAACCTTTTTGAAAATGGGGTTTTATTTTGGATGGAATATTTTTTCCACCACAGTAGACTTTTGCAGTAAGAACACTTTGCAGTCACAGGTTGCGATAAAAACATTTTCACTGTTTTTCAGTACAAATGGCAAATAGCATGGCCTGGTACATTAGCTTTAGGAGACAACTTCTAATATTTGAACATGAACATGAAAGTATAGTATAGAATAGTTTTGAGTATGAAAAGATGATATTTGCTTTTTTTCTGAATACAGGAACTTCTACATTAGTTCTGTCCAACCACAGAAAATACGCTCATATACAACTTAATTTCAGCACCTGATAAATGTTGCAGATCAATGTTCTGTTATAGGAATACATGTCAACATATCAGACTTTTTAGCCACTCCCACTCGGGAGTATGTTTTACTATGGATTATTAACATAGAGATTTCAGAATTGATCTTGTACGCTTCCGTTTCCACTTCTATCAGTATCAGATGTAACGGCGTAAGATAATGTAAAAACCTATCAGATATACATTTTAACATGTAAGGAAAACGTAAAAGAAGTCAAAGGTACAAGGCTGTGTACGTGAGCGTCTCATTAGGACTACACTGGTTGGTGTAGGGCTACAAATTCCACAGTGCACTGTGTTTGGCTCAGACAGGAACCTACAGAGCCAGTACACATTTTAGAAGTATTTTAGTTAATTGTGACCCTTTTGTATGTAGTTTGCATTTTTCACAATATATTTTTGTAACAGTAGAATCTCTCCTCTGCGTTAAAGGCAGTAAGGCGTCCAGTTTCTACATAATCTAATGCAACTATCAACGGTCTTGATGCCACTCTGTTCCCCTGGTAAGATAATGTTATCACGTTAGGTGCTTTTAGCTGTAATAATTTTCAAAATTTGCTTAAATTGATATGCTGTAGTGCATGTGACATTTTTAAGTTTATTCGTATCTCATTATTTCTGTTCATTACTGGTTAGCTAACGTAGCTAGCTAAGCTATAACTTCAGCAGAACGATTTACGTTAACAAGACACTCGCTGCGTCCCAAACTACACACATATATACTTAACCTTCTACACTTTTGAATGCATTTCTAATCACCATTGTTTACACTCTATTTAGTGCGCTAGTATGCGGTTTGGGATGATTATCTAGCCAGCATAGCCGCTTCCAAGAGAAGGAGAATTCTGCAGACTGGAGACCTAAAGGGGAGAGAACTGGGGGCGGGGGTCTGTCAATCATTATTTGCATCAACCAATTAAATAACTACTCTTGGCTATCAATCACATTTTGCATTGGCCCGTCACAGATTAGAACAAGCTCTCCGCCATTTTTTGAATTAGCCAATGTAGATATTGTTAGGTTAGTTTAACACCCTTTTTCTGTCACAGGTCATTTTACCCATTGGAACGTGAGGTGAAAGTGATTTCAGTTATGTGAAGTCAGTTATGTGAAATCATTTTGGTAAGTAAGATGTATGTAGCTAATGACTAATGCATCGGTAAGTCTCATAAACATAAACTAGCAAAAACAAATTTACTAAAAAATTAAAGTGTTTGTATAAATTCAGAAAAAAGACACATGGCAGTCACAACTGCATATGTGTACATATTTCTATATTGTGGTCTATTTACACAAAGTTAGGTTAGTTCCATCATTTATTGTGGAATAGGCACTCCCAAAATTTTAGTGTTGCACTGACATTGAACCATATGCTTGCACTGGGTAGGTGTATCCAACAGGTCAAAACAAGCTCAAAACAAAGTGCGCGCTGTACCTTGATTGGTGTGCTTACTTCACGCTTCTTTTGTTTTGACATGTTACGTTTTTATGCACACATAAGCCAAAAGGAACAACAGATTTTGCATAATGTAGTGGAGTAAAAAGTAAGACATTTGACTGAAATGTAGTGGAGTGAATGTAAATGTCGCCCAAAATGGAAATACTTCAGTACAAATACATGAAAAAACTACTTAAGGACAGTAATGAATTACATTTACTTAGTTACTTTTCACCACTGTTGAAAACATGAAGTTAACTCCAAAATGCATTTCATTTAGTAATACCTTTATGTCCAGTCTTTCCAGTTAGCGTTTGTCATTACCTCTACGTTATATACTTAAAAATATTTTAAAATACGCCGATCAATCATGACATTAAAACAGGTGAAGTGGATTACATTGATTGTCTCGTTACAACTGCACCTTTTAAGTGGTGGCAATATGTGAACAGTCAGTGTGATCCCACAGAAAAGCTACTGTAGCACAAATTGTTGTAAAAGTTCATGCTGGCTATGATAGAAAGGTGTCAGAACACAAGCCTTGATGGGTTAGAGCTGTTTTAGCAGTATGAGGGGTACCTACACAACATTAGGCAGGTGGTCTTAATGTTATGGGTGGTGTATTTTAATATACACAGTCATATCAGAATATTATGACCATTGTTTCTATACTCATTGTAGACCCATTTTATCAGCTCTACTTACCATATAGGAGCACTTTGTAGTTCTAGAATTACAGACTGTAGTTTCTCTGCATACTTTGTTACACAGACACAGGTCTTCAATGGTCAGGACCCCCACAGGACCCCCACAGGATTATTTGGATGGTGGATCATTCTTAGCACTGCAGTGACACTGACATGGTGGTGGTGTGTTAGTGTGTGTTGCACTGGTATGGGTGGATCAGACACAGCAGAGCTGCTGGAGTTTTTAAACACCTCAGTGTTGCTGACGGACTGAGAACCACCCAACAACGTCCTGTGGGCAGTGTCCTGTGACCACTGATGAAAGACTAGTGGACGACCAACACAAACTGTGCAGCAGCAGATGAGCTGTCGTCACTGACTTTACATTTACAAGGTGGACCAACAAGGTAAGAGTGTCTAATAGAGTGGACAGTGAGTGGACACAGTGTTTAAAAACTCCAGCAGTGCTGCTGTGCCTGATCCACTCGTACCAGCGCAACACACACTAACACACCACCACGTCGGTGTTACTGCAGTGCTGAAAATGATCCACCACCCAAATAATACCTGGTCTGTGAGGGTCCTGTGGGCTCCTGACCATTGGAGAATAGGGTGAAAGAGTATGCAGAGAAACGAATGGACTGCAGTCTGTAATTGTAGAACTACAAAGTGCTCCTGTATGGTACATGGAGCTAATAAAATGGATAGTGAGTGTAGAAACAAGGACATAATACTCTGATATGACTGTGTATATTAGTTGTTTGATATATGTTTTTTTTCTAGCTACACAGAAGCTTTAGAGATTGGGGTGAGTGACCAGCAATAATACAAAACAATGGTGTATACTCCTGCCCATTCTGTCAGCCCAGAGTATTTTCTACAAAATCTATGTTCCATGCAACTGCCCATCTTGAAGACCACCAAAAGCATGCAGTTTCATAGAGGTGAGTTCATGTTTTTTTGACTACATACTCAAATGCACTCATTACTGTGTCTGTTTGTTGTTAAAACCATAGTAATTTGAGGGCAAACAACTGCTAAAAGACAAACTTAAAGCTTTTAATTTATGTTTCACCATCATTTTTCTAGTTTTAATTTAATAGTGATTGTTTTGTTCCAGCCTGTCATTTGCAGCACCTTCGCCCAGCCAGCCACCTGCAGCACCTTCGCCCAGCCAGGTGTTTTCTCATCTCACTGAACCGTGTGCATCTTTTGCACCTAGTAAACTAGACCAGACATCAAAAGTTTCTCGGCCACAAGTTGTCGTAAAAAGTCCTGTGTGCAACATCTGTATTAATAGGAAAAATTTGAAAAGACACATTTAAAGGCGGCACAACCCTACTTATGCTGGTATAACATTGGAGCATCATTTACAAAGTCAGTGTGTTGATGCTAAACGGGGACTTTTTGTAGTTCGCAGAGACTTTAGGGGCTCTCACATTCCACTGAATGTTGTTAAAAAGGCCTATTATAGTAGGCTTGGTATAGTTATTGTTACTTATGATGCCAGGCACAATATATGGCACTGTCCATGTGCAAAGTCACATTATAAATAATCACATGTTACTGAAGGTAGGTTAGTGTATGTTTGTTGATACTATTTATAATAATGAATAAAGTAATTTAATTTATAGTTGCCAAATATAATGATTGTTTTTTATAATTGCACTATAGATGTGTCCACATTCTGCAAGCACTGTACCTCCTGTGGAATGACCTGCAGGTATCAGGAATGGACAGATGGCATACATAACTATGATGACCGTATACTACTTGGATTACATTTCTGTTTATATCTAAGAGCCTCTCTTACACAAATATTATTACACAAATAAACAAATATTTGTTTACACATACTTTACTATACATTTTATACTTACATTAGGGTTTTTATTTCTTCTTTCAGACTCACAATGCCTTAGGCACAGTTTTTGAAGCAATGGAGCAGTCCTTGGGGATTCCCCTCCCAAATCACAATAAACTTCTTCAGGCATATCTGCATTTTGAAGCCCTTACTACAAGTTTTCTTGTGTAAAATGTGGTCACCATCCCCCTGTAGTTATAATGAATCTCCATAAGAAAGGAGTGTTTAACATGCCTGGCAAGTACACTTAAGTTCTGACTATGATTATTAGTACTTCATATTTCTTTACTGTATTATGAAAACAACATTTAAAATGCATGAGTAAAGTTGGTGATATTTTAACAGTTAGCAACATCCAAAACTCCCCCTGTAGCTACTTGGGCAAAGTCGATGTGAAAGACTTTTGGAATTCTGTCTCTCTGGAGATGATTGCACATGGCTTTCTGTCTAGTAAGAACTGTTGCATAATTTTAGTTGGTGTTGTGTAGGACTTATTATAACCGTATTTTCTCTACAGGTACCACACAGAATCCATGTGCTACAAAACCTACATTCGAATTTTGGGCTCTCTGAATTAGTGAACATACATGGTATTCCAATCTAGTGCTGAACACAGAATGGGGAAAAATTCATCATCCAAGACAGCCAGCAGAGGGAGCAGATGTATCAATCACAGAAGACCAACTTTTGAACAAAGTCATGACATTAAAGTTAGTTCATGGTGATAATCCTTTTTTCTGTATGATTGGATGTATAGTACAACAGGTTATGTTTGGTCTCACTGCAGTGAATATTTGTTAATTATATTTATTTTTTTAGCTTGATTCCATTAAGAAGTTATGTAAGGAGAGTGGCTTGGACAGCTCAGGTTCAAAAATGGACCTGAAATTTAATCGAGACAAATGTATGACAAAATCTTTGAGAAAATTTGGGGTTCTTCAGGTAAGAGCTAATTTGTGATTGTATTTGTGGTTCTTATTTATATAGTATACATGAAAAATGATTTCTGTAATGAAGCAATGAATATTTAAAAGAAAAACTAAATTAAAATTCATTTTACAATAACGAGTTTTTTTATTTCTTTGTTTTCTTATTTTTGACACATGGCAACATTTGTCTTTCATATAGGTGGCTGGGCAGTGGTAATGTACCCCTGTGGAATTGTCTACTCTGTTTATTTAATTTACGATCAGAGAGTCCATAAGATTACATGGATATATTTCTATCATGGAAACACATGCCCAACGTTGTTATTTTTTGATTTTGCAAGAGGACTAGCAACACATGGGAATCTTCGAGAACCACAAAGGATTCCATTTAGTCCACATGAAGGGCGACTGCTGGAGCCAAATAGGACAACATAAAGCTTGCAAAAGACAAAAAACAGTCTTGAGATGGCTTCTTGAGAAAAAAAGACTGCCTGATGCTCATAGCCATCCGCTCACTGGATCTGCAGAACATTATTTCTTGTATGACACTTTGCATGAGTCAAACACAAAAGATGACAAGGACTTGCTTCACTGAATCAACTTTGTTCCAGAGCTTATGGGTCGAGTAAACAGCCAGGTCGCAGAACATTTTTTTGCAAAGATGGAGCAGAACAATTACTTTCTTAACACGATGAATCCAACAACTCAGATCTTTCTAATTCCATCAATTATTCACCATGCAAATGAAAAGGAAAATCAGCAAAAGCTTGACCAAATCCAGAAAGCAGTACAACAATGCATTTACTTTGACAGATATGAAAGAGCTTGCATTGGTACCTTGTTAATAGTGTGTAAAGTGGTTTTTTTCAGTGGATTCTTAACTAGTAAGTCATGGTAATGATATATTTCTCTAAGGGAACATGTGGCTGCTTCTTGTGCGGCAACTTGTGAGGCAACAAAACTGTTGCCTGAGAGCACAACTGATACGATGCTTGGTAATATTATAGTAGAAAAAATATTTGTAGTTGGTATCCTGTGTTATCATTTTGACATGATTGTCATTTTTTACTCAAAAAAAGTGCATTTCTTTTACTAAGGCCTCTCAAACCTCGAACATTAAGAGAAAAAAATTTAGTCCGGCTGACTGAAATAGACTCACCAAGACCATCGTGTGACATGACTAACACTGTAGTCTGTAAACCTGCAAGACTGCAGTGTGATTAATCACAGCAGCAATCAGCAGTCAGTTGTCCTACAGTTTCATCCTCTAAAGTTCGTCAGTGACCACTCTGATACCTTCAGCGTAAACGAAGGCACTTCTCTAAGATTCCTTTACGCCAACCTCTCTTGCTCTGAGCACCAAAGGACACACTTTGGCCTGAACTGCGCTTTCTTCTGGTGATAGGTCTTCTTTAATGTGTAGATATGCTTCTTCAAGGTATTTAGAACCTTTTGGATCTCTTCATATTACGTCTCAATAGAGGCACATGCTGAACTGGACAATTATAGCTCTCGTCATGTTGTCTTCTTTATTCCTCCCAATTCTGTGAGCAGTGAGTCCACAACCTCTGGCAATTTCTCAGCAATCCTCAGTGAGACGTTGGACAGGATCTTGATCGCCAGACTGCGAGTGTCCTCCTGTTGGTTGCTCTCCTTAACGCCATGTAGCCTGAGCCCCCATCTGTGTTTGTAACTATTAGCCTCCACAACTTGAAGTTTCACTTCTTTGTTTTCTTTGGTCAGCACAAGGGTGGTCCTTTTCTCTGTATTTCTGGAACTACCTTGAAGAAGCTTTTCTATTGTCTCATTCAAAAAAGAGAGACTGTATTCAGTGTTTTAGCTGTTACTTAGATTAATGAAACGTTCTCGAATATGACTTTACATTTAGCAGAGAGAGACTGGATGCACAAAGAGACGAACTCAAGGGGTAGCTATGTTTATAATGTCTTATGAATGCATTATAACATGTTATGAATGTGTTGATAGATGCTTACAAAGGTGACATTCATAGAAAGTGTTACCAAAATTCTTAAACATTTTAACATTCCTTATTGCATATTTTATTTTATGCAAACTAATATATACCTAAATGTCATTTTCTATCTTGGAGGAAGTTGTTAACTTTCCTGCAAGTTAAACTTTCAAATCACTGAATGCAGAGTCAGCCTAAACTACGAGTATTAAACTTAGAGAATAAAAAAAAATCTTACAGCATGGAGAACAATTTTCTTCCTAAGCCACCACCTGTTTTCTGAGGTAACACCAGGCAAGTCCCAGGGCAGGCTCACAGAGAGGACCACGGATTTCTAGTCCTCAGAAAGTTCCTGGGTTCCTTCCAACTGATTAAAGACATCAGAGAGTTCAATGAAAACTGAGAGTTTGCAAATACGTTCAAATGCAAACAATTTTACAAGCTCAAAACACAAGATATTACAAATCATTTTTTGAAGAAAGTAAACATATTTAAAATGGCTTTGGTAAATACAATAAAATTAAAAATATTTTTCCCCAAACCAGGTGGATGACATCCCCAACATCCTGGTATACGCAGTCAGATACGTTAACTGTTGCTGTCTCTTGCTCCCCTCCAAAGGGTACATGCACTATGGCAGGGCTTAACCCAGCAAGATGTCGGCCATCATTTGAAAAACAGTGCCCAATTATACATCCAGCAATGACAAAAAAATCACTTTCCAAAAGTGCCCGAGATGTGGAAGGAACAAGAGCAACGAGCAAAGTCTTCACTCCTGAGAAAAAAACACAATTAATTTTGATTGACAGGTGCTAATTTTAAAGGGACAAAAACGTGTTTTAAAAGGCAGCAAAGCTACCAAAATCAGTAGATATATCTGTCTCTTCCTCAAGAAGGAAGCCATTCTGAAGATTTCCCATTACTGTGGACAGAGCATACCTGTTGACTCCCTCACCGAGTCGGGCAGTGCAGGGATACAAAAAGTGTCATATTTGAGAATACAGAGAATTTAATGTACCTAGTATGTATCTAATCAATTGCCTCCTCAGAGTAAGCATTACATTCTAAAGGCCAGCAGACAAGGCATGTCATCAAGTTCCTCTGGAGATGATAAAAATTTTGCTTTGATGCTACGTCTCCAATATTGCTTTGTATTGGTATTTGTGAATGTTTGACAATAACTCTGTAATTGTGGTCTGTGAGATTTAACAAACATTAACTTTTTAATGTCTAATATTAATATCTCCTCATTCTTCTTATAAATGTAGCTTGTCATAATGAACGATTGAAAGTCTAAAGAAAAGAGAAGCAAGTCAGCAACTGGAGAATAACTATAGGCCCAGTGTGACAAAATAAATCAGGCAATGCAATGTTATAAAGAAGAAACTGGCTAAATGATGATTTACCAAAGATGATGTAGCAATAAATGATTTACCAAAAATCATTGTTCGTTCCGGCAAGGCCATATGTCAATCACCCATCATATGCACATTCTTAGGTACTACTTAATAGGTGCATTATGTGTAATTCTCAGTATGTTTTATGGCTGTATGAAATATATTTAAGAAATAATTGGGATTATTACCAGTCAATTTGCACTGCAGTGGAATAGACCACTGCACCTTTGGCCTTTTATAAAAAGTAATGATAGCCCTGTTCCTTTCCTCCAAGGAATCCCTCAAGCTCAGGGTGACGTTCAGGTTGTCTTTGTCTTATATAGCCTCAAGTGTTGACTGGGTGAACAGCTGAGCTGCCTTTGCTGGATCTGGTTGTATAATCCAAGCTTAACAGAAAAACAGAGTCAGATTAAATATACGCATAAAAAATGCAAAAATGCAAAATGCAAAAATATATATTAAAAAAATCTGAATTGCTTGAGATGTTCAAAAAAATATAACTGGATGCTGTGCCAGATGAGTTTGCTGTGCAGACAGACATAAAATATCATCAGCCAGTAGAATTAAAAATCTACATCTGTGCATCAGCGTGTGAGGGGTCTGACTCCCTGGTACATTTATCCTAATGGGCAACTAAAATTTAAAGTGCCACAGAAATTCAGAAAAATATTCAGAAAATATTCAGAAACCTTAAATTCTGCAAACTCTTGACTTGTCCCTTAATCTGTAAAACCCTCAGCTGAACCTGTCTCCAGACTCTCCTCCATTACCAAATCAACAGGGTGCTGAGAGGTGGAGGCAGAGGCCAAAATGGTTCTAGGGACAGTTGCACCCTCATTCTCTCTTTCATTCTCTTTTTCCCCTCACCCTGTGATTCACTTGAGAAAAGGCAACTTAGATGATAAGTATTCTCCATACATTTAACAATATATTTACAATTATATCTAAACAAAGAATGAAATACCACACTTTGTGTCCATATATCTCTATAGTCCAAAATTTATATTATTCTTGGACCAAAACTGAACAATATATGACACACCCCATGTCAGTGCTTCTCAACCTCTCTTTGAGAATGGAAAATCATTTTAAAGCCTTCTGCATCCTGTTTCAAGCCTGCTTTTGGATTGGACTGTTAACTACACACAATACAGTCCACATAGTACTGAAATTTTCTAAAATAATAAAAAAGGTAGACTGTGTTTTTTCCATATGACAGATAATAATCAGATAAATTCAGCTGCATTTACTTCAGAAAGAAAGAAACAGAACTGTTAAAACAAAAAAATTGGTTAATGACAAATAATTTAGCTAAAAATGATCAGTTTCCAATACTGCACAACTTTCCTCACCTTTACCTGATGGACTGGTAAATTAAACAACATGAACAGACAAATCTAGTCTCTAGTGCTCTAGACTCAAATTCCTTTGCAGGGGATGAATGTAAAGAGTTGCATAATTTATCATAGTGCTAGGATCCTTCAGATATCTCACAGTGTATCCTTCATTGGGGCAAGGCACAACTACAAGATGACGGCTCCTTGTGGTTCCTGAAATTCTCATCAGCTCAAACCCACCTGCATCTCTCAATTTTGGAAATGAAATAAAAAGGAGCTCCACAAACTCTCATCAGTTGCCCTGGTTGCCTGTGTAATGACAAACAATATATAACTTCAATTTCACTTCTGTTGCTGTGAGTTTTAGAACCATTCACTTTTATAACTTTTACTTTAAGATATTTGTGTGCAATGTTTCTTTCCTAAAAATGTGATCCAGGAAAAAATACTTGCTTCACAATTATGACAAATAAGGCAACTGAAATTAATATTCTGAAAATATATAGATTAATTGTTAAATTAATTAATGACGTGAAAATGTTGATCAAGATTTAAATATATTACTTCCAGTACACTCCTGACTTTCCACCGTTTCTGATCTTGGTATGTTACACTTGTAATAAATTATATAAAATTCCTTGATTATGTTAAAAGAGAGGTTAATATTTAATTTCATTATATCATCATTAAACCTGAAAAATCCATATGAAAAATATGCGTATAAGTCCCTGCTAGAAAAAAAAAAACAACATAGACAAGCATGGCTGATCACTAGCAAAACCAGCATAGGTTTGTTTAGGATGCTGGAATGCTGATCAACCAGCCATACTGAGTGACCAGCTAAACCAGCACCAAAC